TCTGAAGCGCTTCTTCAGGTCATGTTCTATGCCATATATAACGTGATTTCGCTCACTAATAGTGCGGGGACGGCCCCGCCCTCCGCCGAAGCTATACTCGACCAAACATTCCAGCTCATCATGCTAGCGCTTGTAGAACGACCTTCTGTCTTCAGTCATGTCTCTGTTATCAAACCCTTTGCAGAAGAAAAGAAACTCGCCGACATCATATGCGCCATGGAACATGATGAAAAATACAAACCCTACAAGAGCCGCATCGATTGGGTTCTGACAGAGATTTCCAAACATGTTCCGGAAGGGGTGCAGCCTCCTCGCGAGGTCCTGAGCCCTGCTGCCCCAACACCTGATGTTGAGGGTGTCAAGAAGCGTGCAGCTAAGGCACGCCAAGAAGCCATTATGGCAGAGATGAAAGCTCAACAAGCAAGTTTCTCGCTCAATTTCGAGGAAGAGGAAGAGGAAAATGATCAGGATATGGATGAGACATCTGATGAACTTTCCTCGTATGGCACTTGCATCGTCTGCCAGGAAGATCTCAATGAGGCCAAAGCGTTCGGCTCTCTGGGGCTCGTACAGTCCAGCCGGTTGCTCAGGAAACACCCAGACAGCCACAGTCAATATCTCAACGAGCTTATGACAATGCCTCAGTCGCTCGATCGAGCGAATCCGCGCGACACCACTTTCCCCCCAACTAATGCTGAGGAGCTCGACACCGCAAGCTCGCCCAACTTCGATGGCTTCCCTGCACAGTACACTCGTTTCGGGCTCCACGCATCTGTGTGTGGCCACATGATGCACCTCGACTGTTTCCAAGTCTACAATTCTTCCGTTCGCCAGCGGCACCGCTCACACGCGACGAGAAACCATCCTGAAAACATCCAGCGCAAGGAGTACATCTGCCCACTTTGTAAGAGCTTGGGTAATGTTCTTCTCCCCGTTCTTCATCCCAACAATGCTCCTGCGAGCCGCATCCCCTTCCCAGACTGGATTCGAGCTGCGGGGATAAGCGTCTTGAAGTCAAAACCAGACAGCGTCATGGATGGCCTGCAGTTCAGGAGTGGGACGGGCGAGTTTGTGTTCTGGAGCGCGCAAGATCCTGGTTATGGCGCAGCCGTGCGCAAACCAGAAGCAGTGGCTTCGACGAAGATGCTCGACACCCTCATGTTGTCATCAAGAATGGTCTCGCAACAAACGCGTCATCTTCGCGAGCGACCTGAACCAGAAGTAGGAGAAAGAGGTGCAGGAATGTATCTTCCGGAAGACCTTGTCGGATACACAATTTCCGCTATCGAGGTTGCTGCTCGTGGGACTGACTCCTCCGGAGGCATTGTGGCGGATTCGCTGTCATTATCGGATACGCAAAGTAGAATGATCCGCGGGTTACTTGCCAGCTTGACAAGACTATCCGCTCTTGAACTGGACGGTCGGCCAGATGGTGGCCGGGAGTCAGTCAAACAAGCCATAATCAAACGGTTACTCCCAGAGTGGAGCCGAACATCACTGACCTCCTTCTCGTATCCCTTGCTCTTACGCGACCCATTCACCGTACTCATCGAAACCGCCGCAGTGGCTCCCGAGATGTTGCAGCATGTCTTGATCTTGTGCTACTATGCCTGTTTGGCTCGCACAGTCATTGGTATGGTGTATGTTCTCAACAAGGCTAGGACGTACAGCGCTTTCCAGCAGCCCGCTACTCGTGCCCATGCTGATATCTTCGGTGACGTCCGTATGTTCTTCATGTCGGTCGTGCGACATTCACCCGTCTTCGAGCACACTGCCACGCTAGTCTTTGATGCGTTTGGTGAAGCTCGCATCGAGAAGATGCTTTACGCGTTTACTCTTCCATTCCTCAGACGGGCAGCAATCCTGTGTCGCTCCGTTGTCCCGCTTACATTCCCGACTCCATTACTAGGTGCCTCTAATGTCAATGAGTACAAGCGTCTACTCGCTACCCTTGGCATTCCTCCCTTGGCAGACCTCCCAAACCAAGATACGCTTCAAAACGCACTCTCCGGATGGTGCGCCCACTACGGCCACTCGCATGCTGCCTCGCAACTCAACTGTGGCGTCGTACTGGACTACGCAGCTGTATACGGGATCGCCCGTCTGCCACTCATCCTCGATAACCTTTTTGGTGAACGAGACAAGGTGATGAAATGTCACCGATGCAACACCGTTCCGACGGATGCTGCAATCTGTTTGATCTGCGGAGTAACATGCTGTATGGCGAGTCACTGCTGTCAAGACGAGTTAGGACTCAGGGGGGAGTGTAACATGCATACACGAGAGTGAGTCCTCCAAGTCATACTATGACATGACGCTGATTCCCTGTGGTTGCAGTTGCGGTGGTGCTATCGGTGTTTATTTCGTCGTGAAACGATGCTCTCTACTTTATTTATACGCCAGCAACGGGACATTTGCACAGTCCCCTTACCTTGATGTTCATGGTGAGGTCGATGTCTCAATGAGGTCAGTCTGTTCTGCCGGTTAATTTCAATTGAATGCTCAACTGCGGCGTACAGACGTGGTCGTCGTCAATATATACACCCAGCTAGATGGGAAGAAGTCCGCAAAACGTGGCTTAACCATGGTATTCCAACTGCTGTTGCTCGTAAACTTGAGAGCACGGTCGACAGTGGGGGATGGGAAACACTTTAATTATTAGTGTCCCGTAGTTTTAGCAAGCCTGTGCATCACATATCATCTGTATACAAGTAGCGCAAATGGACAATTAGAAATTCGATTATATTTATTTCGAATCGCTAGTTTTGTGCACTGAGAGCGCCAATTTCAGCCTTTGCGCTGTCCGTTCAGTACCAAGAACATCGATAATCTCAGGAAGGCTGGGTCCCGCTTTCATCCCAGATAGCGCGTGCCTCAAAGCCGTCATGAAGACCTTGGATTTCAGGCCTGTTTTCTCGCACGCATCGTGCAAGAAAACTGCAATGTCAGATTGAGTCGATGGTGATGAAGACTCGAGTTGTAGGATAACTCGTCGCACGACATGGTCTATAATGACGCAAAGCGATCAGTAATGTTGATTACTGACAGTGCGTGACTTGCCGTAGTCATCAGCTGATAGTCCTCGCTTCACGGAACGCGCTTCGGGCAATTCATAATCCGGTTCCACGAAAAAGAACGGAGCGAGTGTTGGAACATCATGAAGATTTGTTATGCGACCCTGCAAGCACTGTAGTTGTACGTTCATCCAGTAGGTAAAGCATGCTCACCTGCAAGACGCTGATCACACGCGTGATGTACTCCACATTTGTGTATGGACTAGAAACACCGGGTTAACAAGGGCATAAATGAATAGATGAACTACCTGTGAGGGAAAGCAGCCTTGACAACATCGTGTACTCGTCTTGCCTGGAAGGCAATACCTTGTTCGGTCTGCCAGCTCCGCATGAGGTGATGTTTGTTAAGATATGCAAGCTTTGCAGGATCAAGAACATTCCTGCGATGTGTGACGGAAGATAAATCAAACTGTAGAATAGACCTGTTGTAGAACACGCCAAGAACTCATGAAATAGTGATAACGCACTTGGTCGATGAGTTCTGGGAGCGTCATGAGGGTTGTACTGTCGGGAGGTTGAGTCGAGGGCGTTCCGGGTGGGGAAGGGCGCCCATTTTCATGGTGAACGCCCCAACCAGCTAGTGCAAGCCAATTTAGAACACCTTCCGGTTCCCAACCACGGCGCTATAGAAAATGGCGTTCAAATCAAAGTTCGTGGATGATGAAAGTGACGTACCATGAAATCTAAGACAGACACATCTCCATTGCGCTTTGACATTTTTGTTCCATTCGGGTTCAAGAGGATGGGTAGATGCGCAAACTGAGGGGGTTCGAGACCCAAACACGAATATAGATCGAGGTGCAGCGGTAGTGAAGGCAGCCATTCCTGGGATGCATGGAATTAAAGGACGTCGTATCACGGAGGTATGGACACCTACCTCTCCACGGAGAACATGCGTGATATCCATTTCATGGTCGTCAACAACAGACGCCAAATGGTACGTGGGGAACAGATCAGATTTCAAAAGAACAGGGTCTGTTGGAAGTGAGGCATGTGCATCCCTCAGGAGACCGAAGACGATATCGGTGGGTGAAGCACGGTCTGGGAGGTTGTCATCCTGTCGCTCGTAAGCATGCGGTTTAACAGCACAGTAGATGTACTCACATTCAGTCTGACGATGGACTTCTCCCCAGCACGTACTCTGCGTGCAACTTCTTCCTCCGTGAGATGGAGGCAGGACTTGTCATACGTAGCATTTGACCCTGTGCGCGCAAGCTTCTCGCGAGTAGCAGCAAGTTTGTCGGGAGAGCAAAAGCACCGGTATGCATGACCAGACTATGAATTGGCAATTGTTAAAGAAAGAAGAGATAAGTAATGAGCACAAGACGGACGTCTAGGAGCCTGCGTGTGTAGGAATGGTAAAGGTCGAGCCGCTCTGACTGGTGGAGCTCAGTATACGGGGCGTGCAATAAATTGTGAGACACCAACTTGGAAATACGGCCCATGTGGACCATCCACTCCAGGACCTAGATGAAGATTATTTGAGTTGCTTTGAGCCAGAATGTGGCATACAGCTTACCAAAGTCATGCGGAAGACCAGCCCATGTCAATGCATTCTTAATGTCGTCCACCGCAGTTGGTACATATCTCACCTGGGTCGTAGATGAGATTTTGCAGAGATGAGAGAAAACATGGAACTGACCGCGTCTGTGTCTTCTATTCTGAGAATCCATTTGCCTCCGTGTTTTTTGGCGAACAGATGGTTGTAAAGAGCGGTTCTAAGTCCACCGAGGTGAAGAGCACCAGTAGGAGATGGTGCAAATCTCAAGAGAACCATGTTTGAGATGTTATGTTGTGTTATTGAACCAGGCACTTCAATCGATACTGAGTGCAAATGTGCAGTAGAAGCAGCAATGAACTCGAGCCGGTACGGGTCAAAGATTGAACAACTGCCACTAATTAATCATGACGGCCTTGCACTAATGTATTGGCCACAATCAAACACACACCATATGCATATATGATCACAAAGGTTTCTCTTAAACCTATACATCATGATACCTAATGCGTGTATTCGACTTGTATTGATGGTATCTGGGGCTAGTGGACATGCCCCCATCTATTGCTTTACCCAGAACACCGGAGAACAGTTTAGACACTTCTCCCTCACGAGACATGAATCGGTTGCGCGACCCCTACCACCTTGTAATATCTGCCTCTGCCTCTCCAAACAGGCTCGTCTTCTTGATTGCGAAGTCCCCCTCAGGAACATCCTCCTCATCTTTCTCATATAAATCTGGAAACTCCCTCCTGAGGAATCTAAGAATATGCGTGTTGATCTGCTCGAATTCAAGGAGGAAGCCGTCATGGCCATCAGGCGATGGGATGACTACAAGTTCTGCATCGGGTATGTGTGTTACAAGCTCCTTTTGTTCAGAAGGAGTGAACAAGCCGTCCGTTTCGACGCTGATCACCAATGCACGCGGAGGGAGGGTTGCAATGACAGCAGCAAGAGCGGTTGATTGTGCTGTCGGTGATAGAGGGTCTTCGAGAATGGAAGTCCGTCCTCGAGCAATATCATGCGTATCCAACTTGCGGGTAATATGGATGTAGCAATTAGCATCAAAGCGCGCCACGAATTTCGCGCCCTGATAACGCAAGTACGATTGCACTGAAAAAAGTGGAGGGGGTGAGTTAGGCTCCATGCTGTTCGGCCCTTCTGTTGGAGAATGGGGCGGAGATGATGCGGTTGAGGTTCGAGTTTGGGGGCGTGTGCGGGTCGCTTTTTTGTGACCCTCGTTATGAGCAGCGAGGTCCTTATCAGTAAATGTAATAAAAGAAGGTGTGACAGTGGTAGACTCCGGGACAGGAGTAGCTTGAGGGCGACGTCCAAAGCGAGTCTCGAAAGAATCACGCGATCGATAAGTTAGAAGTGCGGCCATTCTTGCAGCAGCTAAACCAGTTGAAGGTTGTGTGTCGTAGTATCCATCGTCGTAAAGCGGATCGCTATAAATGCTTTGGCGTTGTGCCTCTCCCCAACTGATACACCAAGCGGAGTGCCGCGCGGAAGTAGCCAGAGGAATTATATGACGGACATAACCTGGGGGGGTGCACAGAGGCCATTCAAGAACGGCCATTCCACCCATGGAGCCTCCAATGACTACAGCGACATTGGAAACTCCCAAATTATCAAGGACGAGTTTATGCAGTCTGCATGAATCAGATCAGAAACCATTCAGGATATTGGAAGACTACCCACCGCACGTCATCGCGTATCGTTGTCTGAGGGAATTCTGGACCATAAGGTTTTCCCGTAGCTGGATTAGTTGTTACAGGAGAAGCCGATCCATATGGTGAGCCCATAACATTGGCACAGAAAATGAAAAATCGATTGGGGTCGAAGGCCTTCCCGTGTCCGATAAGAGGGCCCCACCTGGAATACATAAGAATTTTCCCGAAATGAAGTGTCAAAAAATCTCACCAATCTTCTACATCTGCGCTGCCAGTGAATGCGTGGCAAATGATCATAACGTTGTCCCTAACGTCATTCAACTTGCCCCAAGTCTTGTAGGCGACCGGGACCTCCCGCAATATCCTCCCATTCTCAAGAGTGAACGATGGAACAATACAGACGTTCTGGTCGACCAAAGCTGCAGGAAGAGACATAACCTTGCCACGAAGCAAGGTCAATATACGCCATGGACGTTTTCTGTGATTTCCAAATAATGGTAAATTCGGGCGTCTGCGCCACCGACGCTGCGGCAACTGCCGGTGTTCCCAAATGGTGAGTGCGCATTATGTAATTACACTGACTGCTACTAGTAGTCACTGGAACTTCCCAGTGCTTGTCATCCGAACGAGCCATGGATTCGAGCGTGCTCTGATTTCTTATACGTATATCCATGCTCCCAGAGTCGCGTCCAGGCGGTCACATCATCGAGATTCACAGAAGTACTCCTGGTCTGCAAGTCAGGTCTCCCATATGTTGTTTCAACGTTAGGGACGGTCCGTACTAACATCAATTTCACTTAGCGTAATAGGCCACACATCACTCACACTCATCACATGCACATCACACCTCGATTGGGACTCGGCAATCAGAACTCTATCATTTCAGGACGCCGAGCTCGAGCTCATTCTTGTTATTATTTCTCTTGATTAACAGACAGCAGCCAGTCCGTGCACGGATATGTGTGTAGTACATTACAAAGAGGTTAGCCTTGACTGATCAATCGATCACCATCCTGACATTGCGTGCACTTTCAGTACTACCGCACTGCGATGCGATGTAAATCAACGGTGCACAGGATACATATTAACGTGACCGTGCTCTTCCATCGTGAAACGCCATGGTCATAAGTGAAATATATTCAATCTGCGCGTCTATAATGCGCTGGCCTTCTTGTCTCTGCCTCCCATAATGATGTCAGCTTCTTCTAAACCGCCAGAAGAAAATTGACATCCATCCAGCCTTCTTGTATATAGCGCACTTCTGGGTCACCAGAACTTTGACTCGACAATATCTGATGCGGAATCCACTGTCAATGCTAGAACCGACCTCTGCGACCTCAGTCTGACGAGTCGTAGGTATGCCCTTGTCGGAGTGGCATGTTCAAGTCGTGTCTGACCTAGACACATGTGGATGTCTCACGAAGCCAACAGAGACACGGCCCTCTGTGTGGCATGCTCAGCCTAGCATTCGGAAAGTTGTCATTTCTCTTTGGGTGATCGTTGCAGCATGTGCTGGATGGGCCGCACTCGTCATGTATATTGGGACTACTTCCACAACTCGTATTTTTCCTCTAATCCGCTGACCCTACAAACGTGGCCACTCCTTCAGAATGGGCAGTGGAATTACATCACGTATTATATGCCAAGTGTTGGTCTTGAGGGGTGGATTCTGCTCTTTGTCAACATTGCAGTCGTTCAGGGAACAAATATTGACGCTTGGGCTGCATTTCTCGGAGCTCGTCGTGAATGTCATTCGAGACGAAACACAGTAGAGATGTGCTACCGGAAAGAAAGGACTTAGAGTGGCAGCGAGCCCGCTGAAGCCGATTTTCACTGTCTCGTGCCTTTCCTCGCGAAGCCTTTCCTGCGCGAGTCATCCATGTCCAGTATTTTGCTGTCAGTGTTATTGAACACTATCCCTGACGATCACAGACCGGATGTTTGGGCTTTCATCTGTCTCAGCCACTGACGAGAACATAAGATATTTACCGATATACATATACACCGCCCAGGTTCGCACTTACTGCCCATGCAAATTGGTACAACATTTTCACACATTCTTGCAGATCTGGAACTCCAACCAACTGCATATGGCCACCTTCAAACGCTCGCCAACCTCATAGACGAGTGGTCGCCTGTGATGTGGTGGGGACACAAGGAGGAAGGAGTCATGCTGGTAGGGTACTTGCTTACTCACGATGATGATGCATTGATAGCTGAAAAGGGACAAGCGCTCACCCGCTGTCGGATGTGAAGATGGACTGAGTTTATGCTAGTTCCGGTGCTGGGTCCCTTGTGTAGTGTTAGTTCTTTATATACTTCTATGGCCGTGCCAAGTTTGATGTTGATTTGATATCCCCTCTCGTGAGAGGTACTTGCTTTGCTTTTTGAAGGAAATTTCTTGACTTCTCTTTTGAAACAGAGGAGCTACATCTACGTCAGGCACACAATCAGCCATGCTGTCGAACAATTTTAATAGAGGAAAAGTTGTGTATGATCGCTCAGCCCCAGTGAAAATCGACAAGAAAGAGGTAGATACGTGTCGATATAGATCGAAGAAAATAGAACCTATAGAATGTATCGTTGTGTTTTGAGGTCTTTCGAAAAAACGGCACTTTTCGAGACGAGAAAAGATAGAAGTCGAAAGGAAATTCAGGTCTTTAGATAGGTCAAAATAGTTCGATTTGGCCTGGAAAATGGTACCGATACAGATCTAATGCCATTGAATGAGTTATAGGTGGGTATCGCCATGAATTGCTGGTATGAGGGATATATTATTATACTTGAGACTGTTTTACCCTGCGCACTATAACCTGGATGAAAATTTCCCACAGGTGTTCAAGGTCGAAAGTTGAAACCTGCTGATAATGATTTATATAGCCTATGTTGTGCTATGTTGCACTTCCCGTTTTTCCTGATGCACGCTGTAGACAGGTCTCAGCGTCTTCGAGAACGTGTGATGTTGCGCACCCAATAGATAGATTCCGTCTTCACTGGCAGCAGAAGCGGTGTTGACACAACACGCAACAACACAGCATGACGTAATGGACGCAATTGCACTCGATTGGAACCTTGTCCGGGAGAACGACAAGGAACACTGAACTAATCAGGCGAAAGTAACAGGACGAAACTGTGAGTTCTTTGAGCGTTGTGCTAATGAGTATGTGATGGTAGGTAAGAGACTCGAGTCTGGTCTAAACGGTACAAGAGCAGCAGAATATAAGGGGAAAGGTCACATGACGTGCGATAAGATAAGCGTGTTGGTAAGCGTCCAGCTTACACCGATGCTTGTTCTTCTCAGAGATCCGTCCGTTCACTGATGAACGTTATGTAAATTATAAAACAGCGAAAGTTGATATGATTATGCACATGGACTCCATATGTATGGTGTTCGAGTCGGGTGCGGTACGTGTATGGTTCATAATTCATATCCAACTTTCCGGGTCAGATTTTGATAACTTACCGGCGTAACTTCCTGTGCAGCCTCGTGCCTACCTGGCAGTTGGGTTGGGACCTGCAGCCAAACATCCGCGCGCTTGTACTTTTAACTTGACTGCATACAACCACCATCCATCAAGCTTTGAATAGAATTGCAACCAATCGTCGTCCATCCTATCTCAGACTCCAAACATCTTTTCTAAACGTTGACATCTCCATTGCTCGATCGTTTTGCTACTTAACCCTTTTGATTTCAAATGCAGTTCCAGCATTCCAACTTCCCGTCTCGTGTCACATTCTATCATCAATATCCGTTGATAAGTGACTGGCATTGATGTAAACATATCCTTCCCTCTTTACCTCTCTAGCTCTCTGACATGAATAACAGTTCTTGGCGAGCTTCTATCAATGGCCGAAGGAACTTGGGAGAAGCTGTCCCAGGTCGCTGTCCTGAGCGCTGAATATGACTCCCCTGAACGCCAGCCCCATCCGAAATGTTTGGAAGGGACCCGAGTGGACCATCTCAAATTCATCCACGGATTGTTAGACAAGCGAGATAAGAGTCAAATCATTTGGCTGCATGGCACGGCAGGCGTCGGAAAGTCTGCCGTGGCATTCACTGTAGCTGAAAGAATGAAAAATTTGAAAATAACACAGAATACGAAAATTGAAACAAGGCTCGCGGGGACATTCTTTTTCTCGCGCAATTCCACGGAACGCAGCACGACTGGACATTTCTTTGCGACGCTTGCTTACCAGCTTGCGAGTAATTTTCCCAGCGTCAGGAACGACGTGAACAGAGCTATCCGCGAGAATCCTGCAGTTCTAAAATCCAGCGAGTCTCTTCGCAACCAGATGAAGGCGTTATTTCGCCAACCTCTCTTGCACCTGCAACTCAGTTTACGCGACTGTCCACCTCCGGTCTTTGTCATCGATGCCCTCGATGAATGCAGACCTGAAACTGTCCGCGACCTCATCTCCCTCCTTGGGGAAGTTCTTCGTGATCCTGAACTTCCCGTGATCCACATTCTGCTCACTAGTCGCTTAGAGGAGCATATCCGTAAAGCCATTGAAAAAGTACGCACACTAGTATACGAGATACCGGTGAACACTTCTGGGGAGGGCATTTCTCGCACCATTTCGTTAGACGGCGAAGATGTCGACAATGACATCTATATCTTCTTACAGCATTCCTTCACGGAGTTACAAAGTCGACATCCTGATTTCCCTCAGCCCACTGTGGATGAACTTGTGCGGCTGGCGAACCGAGCTGGCAGACGTTTTATTGTGGCATCTACAATGATGAAGTTTGTCGACGACGGATACAACGACCCCCGGGATCGCCTTGAGCTCATGCTCGAGCTAACCAATGAACTGCTACCTGGGACGGAAGTGTATGAGTTATACAACCGTATCCTTGCCACCTGTTCGGACCCCAGCCGGGCATACCAGCACTTGTCTATTGTTGCTGCCCTTGCAGACCCTCTGCCGATCTCACAGATCTCGAAGCTCCTTGGCCCAGGTCAAGGCAGAGATGTCGCGACCGCACTGATCCAGCTACGGTCTTTCATGGATATTCCCGCTGACAGCAGCCATCCCGTGAATATCTACCACTCGTCCATTCGGGACTATGTTTCAGACTTCTCAAACTGCAGCCTCCTTGGATTACAACCCATCACAGCACCACATTCCCTACTCGCTTCCTCCTCTTTTCGCTTGATGATCCAAGACATTCCAGAACGCACTACTCTCATGGATGCGCTCTCAGAATTGAAGTCGCAGAATCAGGCTATGCAACGCCATGACCCCCGGAACTTGCAACAATCATTAGCCTTCATCGTCGAGCCACCAGAGCCGCTGCAGGTTCTCATGGGCCTGTTATGGCTTCAGGGAGCTCCTGGGTCTGGTCTACAGTCTTGGCTAAGGACTTTGGACGGACGTGCGTGGCTGCAGACTCGAAGTGTAGGAGAGTGGCTGAAGACACCGAGCGGCGGGGAGTGGCTGGCAACACCAAGCGGCGGGGAGTGGCTGGCAACACCAAGCGGGAGGCGGTGGCTGGAGACACCAAGCGGGAGGCAATGGCTGAAGATACAGAGTGGGAGGGAGTGGTTGGTGACACCAAGCGGAAGGGGGTGGCTAGAGACACCGAGCGGGAGGCGGTGGCTGAACACATCAAGCGACGAGGAGCTGAAGACACCAAGCGAGGGGGAGTGGCTGATACTAATCGGCGGGCGCCTGCTACTAATTGGCGGGTTCCCGCCACTAATCGGCGGGTGCCTGCCACTAATCGGCGGGTGCCTGAAGATACTGATACAGATCAGCAGGGAGTGGCTGAAGACACTAATCGGCTGGTGCCTGAAGATACTGATCAGCAGCGAGTGGCCGGAGAAGTGGATGGGGACATCAAGCATGGGGGAGTGGCTGGAGACACCAAGCAGGCAGGAGTGGCTGGAGACACCAAGCAGGCAGGAGTGGCTGGAGACACCAAGCGGGACGCAGTGGCTGGAGACATCAAGTGGGAGGCAATGGCTGAAGACACAGAGTGGGAGGAAGTGGTTGGAGACATCAAGTGGGAGGCAGTGGCTGGAGACACCGAGAGGGGGGGAGTGGCTGAAGACACTGAGCGAGGGAGAGTGGCTGGAGACACCAAGCGGGGGGGATTGGCTGGAGACACCAAACGGGAGGCAGTGGCTGAAGACATGGAGGGGGTGGGAGTGGCTGAAGACATCGAGCAGGAGGGAGTGGCTGAAGACATCGAGCGGGAGGGAGTGGCTGAAGACACCAAGCAGGAGGCAGTGGCTGAAGACAGGGAACGGGAGGCAGTGGCTGGAAACAAAGATTGGGAGGCAGTGGCTGGAGACACCGAGCGGGAGGCAGTGGCTAAAGACACAATATGGGAGGGGATGGCTGGAGACCCAGAGTGTGCACGACCGCCTACAGATCCTAAATGAACTGCAGACTCCAATCGGGCTTGCATGGCTGGACACCTCTCACGGGCGAGAATGGCTCCTGACCCAGAGTGGCCACGAGTGGTTACTCACCAATTACGCGCAAGAGTGGCTCCTCGCCCCAGGAGGGCGAGAATGGCTGCATACTCCGGGCGGACAAAAGTGGCTGCGGACCCCAGGTGGGCTGCAGACTGAACATGGTCAAGAATGGCTACAGACGAAGAGTGGGAAAAAGTGGCTGCTGACCCTGGATGGGCGAATGTGGCTGCAGACTATGGGCGGACGAGAGTGGCTGCAGACCGAGAGAGGACGAGAGTGGCTACAGACCCCCCATGGTCAAGAATGGCAGTTAACCCCTGCGGCGTCTGTCTGGGTGACGATGGAAGACTTCTCTAACACGTTGGAAACAATCAGCGGACACGCAATTATCCCACAGTTGCATTTACCCCCAGCTGTTCAAGCAATCCAGGAGTTTAAGAACTTACCAGATTTCTTGATGTTTCCGGCGTTCCTGGCCTTAAAGCCCCAATATCATTCCACCTCTGTATCCCTACAAGATTGTCCAGACATCGAGGTTCTCCACACTATGACCACGTTCACAATTTTCGCAACCAAAGCACGTGAGCGAAGTCAATCATCTTCTGACGCTCTGAAGTACGCATGCCAAAACTGGGTCTTCCATCTCTCGCGAGCTTTGAGTCCAATAGACCACAAGCTCAACCTTGCATTCAAGCTCTTCTGGGATCGCCACCTCCTCTCCTGGCTTGAAAGGCAGTGGTGCTTGAAGGGCTTGTGTTCCTGCCTGCTTGTGTTATCGGAAGGACAGAAACTTGCACAGGTGTGTTCTCAATGATTTTTGTGTACCCAGCAGCTGACCTGCGCACAAAGGAACACCTCATTGAAGCTACAGAGTCATCTTAGTCGCTGGTTTGAAACTGTCGAATTTGTGCACTGGATGTCTTGCTGTCTTGTTATTTCGCATAGATATTTCCTTCACGTCGTTTGTGTATTTTCAGAATTTATGTTGAATATTGAACGTTCGAACGTCGGTGTTAACATTCCCAGTTGCGAAACCCATCGCGAAGTATATATGAAAAGAGGTTTACCAAATGTACGATCAGTCGTTCGATTATATATGTCATTGAACTGCTCGTTCAAAATATACTATAGTCTACAAGGAGTGTATAAATGAGCCATTTGAAAGCCCTCACCTTCAGTTTCTTAGCAGAGATTTTCTATCGGTCTTTGAATCAAATAGGAGTCATTGTCTTCATCGCCGAGCTTACTCGTTGAAACGTTTTGGGCATAGTGCCGAGTCTGGCGCTGTAATTAATGTACAGGCTGTTGAGTAAAGACTCGCAACTTCGCATACAAAGAACGATCTGGCCAGAACATTCAGACGCCGCAGTCTGGTGTTTCGAATTCATCGCACGGCTAAGATCTAGCATTCATGATTCACCTTCACAAGTCAATATTGTGTTCGTGAGCTTTGGGAATAGGGCGCCGTGTGTTGGCTTTAGCTAGGAAGTTTGACATCATTGGATCAAGCCCGACCCGAGGATATATATCGATCAGCACGTTCAATTTCAATACTGCTGTGTGGACGATCATAGAGTCACTGGCCTAGAGTGGCTCTCAACTCAAACACTAACAACGTCGCTATATTAATGAATTTGATATCGATGACAGTCGACTACGCGACACCGATTATTGTACATGCATCAACTTGAATTGACGGCAGACGAGCCTTAATTCTATGCTGCCAGTGACACAGTAATGTTATGGTTATAGTTAGTATCATCTATACTCATCTATGATCTGAACTTCGGAAGCCATGATGATCATCTACTTGTCATCCAGCTTCCGCTTCTCTCGCTCAGCACTAGCTTCTCTCCACTTCCTGCCTTTGTACAACACCAGTAAGATAATACAATTAGTAATGACCATCAACCCCGCCCAGAGGGTATACAAACCACCGTCGCCAATACTATCCTAAACCAACCTCAGATCCGTTCCACAAGCAATCATGACGTCGACTCACTTGTAGAGGCACAGCGATCTCAGTAGCAACAAAAGCAAACAGACCACGGAAAGAACCGTTGGCTGCTACTGCCGTCGATGAGCGACCAGTGTTTGCATCGACAATGTATGCCAGCGTGCTCGCATAGATCCATCTATTGCGGATGAGAGCAGAAGACGGTATGAAAGGAAAGAAACATACATGGATAGGAATCCTGCGAGGAAGAGCATCACGCACATCGCAGCGACGTTGACCCGTTCTTGGCACACCCAACCGTATCCAATCACAGAAAGAGGTAGCCACACCATGGCGACTTTTGTACTCTCGAGGCGCATCTGCACGAATTCGCGTTAGAGACAGGTTGAGCTGAAGACAGTAGGTCACCTCTGGAAAGCTGATCCCTCCGTTTGCGGCCTTTAACCGAGCAAGTGTCCGATCGGACCAACGTCCACCTAACATGCTGCCGGATATAGAGCCTGGGATAGATGCGTCAGGGAAGTGCTCGTTGTTTGCTTGTGATTCGCCTACCAATACCATAGGAAAGTAAGACGAGGCCGGTCTTCAAAGCGTCGTAATTATAATACATAGACAATGTTCTTGCGCATGTATACATGATGCTAAAGCCAAAGGCATAAACTAAACCTGGCGCAAGAGGGCATCAGATTTCTTTGAAACAACTTCAGCAAGGACCACCGAGGGTACTCACCGGATGCTGTCAAGATAGCAATGTTGTTCTTACGGCTGATGATCGATAGGTATGGAGGGAAAGGGTTGACATCAGCAATGGACAGCTGTACTTCTCTGACGGCTGATGCTGGTATGACCGTCGGCTGTGCTTCAATATCGTTCGAACTCGTCTGGTCTTCGTCATTCACTTGTAATTCCTTCTCTGAGATATTTCTCGAGCCGTCCTTTACTTCCGACGACTGTTGTTCTCGGAGCCTCCTCTTCAATACATCTTGGTACGTCATACTCCTTTCCTTCCGGAAGGTGTCCTTGAATAAGAAAAGGAATGCCAAAAACATTAAACCTCCCCAGATGGCTAGGAACCAGAAAATCGCCCGCCAGCCGAGGCCCTGTGTGAGTGCACCACCGATAATCGACCCCAATGAGGGACCGACGAGAGGTGCAGAATAGTATATACCCATCATTTTTCCTCGTTGATGCGGCTCGTATATATCAGCCAGAGTGGTAGCTCCAATAGTGAGAACTGCGCTTGCCCTACTCCATGTGAGCAAGGAATTAAGGGACTGAGCGACTTCCCTACCCTATGCTTTGCAGAACACGCATACTGATCACAAAACCGATGGTTCTGGATACGGCCACGATCACCGATCCGAGTGTAAACAGTACTAAGGAGAAAAGGTACACCATCTGAGCTCGGCGATATTAACAAGTGGCACTCAGGACACAGAAATCCAAACCTTGCGGCCCTTTATCTCGCTAATTGCGCTCCAAATCATAGGAAAACTGCCTTGAATGAGAATGGAAAGAGACAGACTCAGGCTGATGTCCCCACTACTGGTGTGTAGCTGTTGTTCAATTTGAGCATTGGCAGCTATCCTCCGGCTGTTCAGCCGATATTGCAATGGTATCAAGGAAACAACTCACGGTTTTGTATATTCGCGCACAAACCTGTGATCACCGATGCTCCAGATATGATGAACACTACAACGTTCTGTACGATGTGATCTATCAGCCTGTAGTTACAAAAACAAAAGGGAAGGACGCACCTTTTTCGTGTCTGACCATATTCGAGGATCATCCTTAACCACTGCATGCTCTATATCGAGCTTGATAGGTTCATTTGACGATTTTGGACTCGAAAGATACGTTTGGGTGTTTGTATCCTGGGATTTCATACTATCTCAAATAAAGACGCTCGGACTAGGCACGAGAAATAGTCAAGGTGTCCGTAGAACCGTAAATGAGAGAGCTCACCTCAGTCTCGGTTCAAAAGATTGAGGGTGACTAGTTTAGGGGAGAAGAATTAATACGCTGATTGAGACGGAGAATAAAAGGTGAACGTGAGTATGAGGCGTGCAACGAGGAGTGATCGCATATGTAAAAGAAAAGGGTGAGTACGTACGGAGAGTGACGTCGAGCGTTATACTGTAATACTCTCAATTTCCGTAGGCGACAGAGTCTCACTCTGGCTTTCTGCCATAACGTAAAAGGTTATCCGATGCGGGAACTGAAGCTTGGGATTGTATGAGAGTACATGATAACATAGATAATTCAGCAATGAAGCGGGCGACAAAAGCGCATATGGTTTTACCGGCGCCGTTGATCAAAAATAACCCTAACTATAGTGTTAGTGTGTCGGACAACGTGGCCGATCGAGTGGCGCGGCTATAGCCTATAGAACCTTGTCTTCATTCTGGCTATCGGATAGCCACACTGCGAGTAAGACCCATAAACGACCAGCTTGAGTTACAGCTGTGACCTTCAGGATCGCAATCATCCAGGATTTCTATAAGAGAAAACCATCCAAGTCATGAGTCGACCCTGTTATCTGTCCATACAGGACGTACATTCTATTATCAACTTACTAAGTGTGCACCAGCCTCAAGAATAAGACCACATGTCGATTATCAGGGAACCGACGAGTCTTTTGGGGTGCGTTACGTTGATTGCAGGGCGTTTACGTCGCAATATATTGCTTATAGCGATGAAGATAAAGGGAATGCTCTGCACATATTGTCATGTGGTGGTATATAAGAGATATAACTTTCTCACCAGGACTGTCCTCTGATTGGTATTCTGTTGTAACGCGTTACGAGAGGGAGATTTATCAGAAGGAACTGTATTCCTTCGTCTGAATCTGGCTAGGGAGTTGAAGCGAGTTCGGCCCTAGTCGGAATTGTGAGTCAACGAATTATCATCAAAGTGGGTAGATAGGAATATTGGCCGGGACACTTGCAATGAAACACTTGCAGACGGACCGACCAAAATTCAGATCTGCAAATGTGGCAGCTGCACACTACGTATTATTGAATTCGTAGAGCTGGCTGGGACGGACAAGGACTGGACAGCCTAGTCTGAACTAGCTGGGCCTTTCAGTCGGAGTTTCTATCGGCCATGCTGCCACCTAGCCCTGGATCACTAGCACTCGTCGAAGCTCCAACACTCCAACATATCTCATTTGTCGACCTTGCAAGTTTCATGCGCTGCGCTATCTTACTGAAGGACACATAAGGCCGCAGAGCATGAACACAGTATTATAATGGGACGGGATGTGCATGTGACCTCGAAGGCGCTCGGTACATGCTATGTATTGCGTTTAGATGCCATCAGAGCTGTTGACGAGACCTAACCTCAAGTGTTGCAACGAAGTTATGTGGCACCAACTTATGTTCAAGCTTGTCATATGAAAAGATATTCTGTGCATTGACAAAATAATAACATCAAGTACATTGGTAGAGACTACATCCACTAGGCGCAGGTTCTTGAATTCGCTCCACTCCGTTTTTGCAAACAAAAGTATCACAGCGAAGGGGTTTGCAAAAATTGCTGGAAGCCGAAGCTAACAGACGGGTTCGGATGTGTAATTTGCAATCAGCAAAAGACTGTGCCTCGGTAAAGACCTCACTGGCGACAGTACATGCCCGAGCACAAGAGATGAAGAAATAAAATGCGGAGCGAGGGTTTATAAAGGCTAACTGGTCTGCGCACGGACCACCTTCCAGATCTAGCATCATGTGTGTGGTATTACCCATTTTAGCAGGCGCGTCAGCATTAACAAAGTTGTGTATGTATTGAACATGTCATAGTCTAAGTGCACACGACGCCCCATCCTTTCCACTCTGTCCTACCCTCCTGGATATCAAGAATCTTTTTCCGGATTGCAGTGCCAATTGGGCCCATCTCATCCCCAGGAATTACGATGTCCTTACCCTCAAACCCAATTCTATTGCAGGGTCCAACAATGACCGCTGTGCCTATGGCTAATGCTTCAAGCAGTTTGCCCTCGGACGACCATTTGGCGAGGTCACTCATGGTATACACCATTTCTTGTGGGTGTAAGCGCACTGAGATTTCTTTGTGGAATTCTGGATCGTTTGCAAGGGCAAGACATGATGCTCTAGTCACTCCAGGTAGAATAGTACCGTCCAGAGGGGCCGTGATAAGGTCCACGCCTTCAACCAATAATTCATTTATATATAAAACCATGTCCAATTCAAACTCACCGTCCTCATCATCCCTCTTGACTACAACGAAGAAGTTCATCGCTCCAGCCTCTGTGACTCTTCTGTCATCACCGAACAGCCAAAGGATTTGATCATAGCCTTTCTCTGCAGCAGCGCGTTGGGGTAGGAATCCGGGCGAGTAG